CTCTCTCTCTCTCTCTCTCTCTCTCTCTGTGTGTGTGTGTGTGTGTGTGTGTGTGTGTGTGCGCGTGCGTGCGTGCGTGCGTGCGTGCGTGCGCGCGCGTGTGCGTATATTTCAACCTATTTTCATTCCCATGAATTTCCTTTCTAGGAATTTTAACTTAAAATATATTGACGTGTGGCCTGTAAACTTTTTCCAACCAACTGATCAAGATCCGTTTGATACAACGTCATTGTTCATGCTTCAACTCGCGTGTATTATCAACATGGTACCTGTGTGGAAAAATTTACACCTGAGAGTGTTCCACTGCGAAATTTCAGACAGCGACACAAGTTTAAATATTTCAGATTCGCAGAACGCAATAAGCGAATATCCTAGAGTTTCTAACGAGCATCGCATTAGAAAATTGTTGAACATGTTAAGAATATCAGCATCGATTACAAAAATTCCTAATTGGGGTGCACAAGTACGAGGATTGCAAGGCAGACCTCTCATCGAATCAAGAGTGGAATCTCAATATGAATCAAGCACCGAGAGCAATGACAACGTTTTAAGTAATGTCTCGCGTGCTTACATTTTGAGGTACATATTAATAAAAATACGTATTCATTTGATAAGGAAAATCTCGAGGGACGATATTTAATACGAACATGTTTCATATTCTTTTTTTAGCGTAAACCAACTAATTAGACAGTATTCTTCACAAACTGCAACAACATTCATTTATTTGCCTGCACCACCAGCGTCTAATACTTGGGACGAAGAAACCATGTATCGTCAGTATCTTCAATTGTTGACAGAATTGACCGCGGATTTACCTCCTATACTATTAGTACATGGTGTGAGTGCTGTCACATCTACAACACTCTAACATATGTACATGTAGGAACATATGTTTTTACTGTGAGAATTTTACATCGCGGGTATTATTTATTGATTCAATTATCTTACATTAAGTTGTCAAACTATTGGCATTTAAGTATATTCGATGGAGTAGATATTGGTATTCAAAATATAAAAAGTATTGGTCATGTTTTATTTAACGTATTATTTTATTAGACTTAAATTTACACGATTAATCAGTTAAATATTATTACTGATTTTTTATTGCAATAAGAGAAGCTTAATGTTATAACAAAAATAGTTTGTTACTGTGATAACGAAATTACTCGATAAGAGACTTTCCAGAAGTGAATATTTTTTAAGCATGTAAAAAATCTTTATTGAGAAATATATAACCTTTATTTTAACGTATTTCACACATGAAACTATTTCCATATAATTTTTTATACTATCTATATACTACTATATACTTTATATTATCTACTATTTGATTACTCTAAGAATAGGCATAAATCGGTAATTGTAATAAATGCAAATTTAAAACTGAGTATTCTATCATTTTGAGCTCCGAAATGTTTCCCTCTTCTTTTAAGAGAGAAGAAAATAACTAAGGATGAGAAAATCAAGGAAATAAGTGAAATTACATAAATCAGTGTTATTAATTTATTTCATGATTAGGATAGAATATGAAAGGATAGGATAGCATAGGATAGCATTATACAGAACTTTCGTTATACACGGAAAGGGCTAATATGTACTTCAGGTCATTTAAAAAATTTTTTTTCTTTAATGAAATTTTTTCTTCGCGGTTTTGTTAACAAGTTATTAATTAAAAAGTACGGATTGCCGCTATTCGTCCGCTGTACTTGCTCTTTGATTAGTCCGCGTTTTTTGCTACGGAAGAAGTTATTTCAAATCACCTCAGAAATTAACCCCTTCCGGCTGTAACAGGAGTTCTGGGACACTCTGTAGATATAAGATTAAATTTATGCCGGGACTTCTTTATTACTTTTACGAAGTATCACATTTCAACAGAATAAGTATTTTGCTGATCCAAATTTCGTTCCCAAATAAATATTGCACCTGGGGCAATAGTGAGCTGCGTTTTTGAACTTCGTAACGCAATACGGTACCATGCACATGCTTTGTAATCGAGATGCCAATGAAAAGATAATGATCGAATAAACAGGATGATACGTATTTTAATAATATGAAATTTAGAAGAAGAAAACATAAGTTTTTCAAATTTTTTATAACGAGAACTGTTTTACGTTATATTTATACTAACCACACAGGAGTCAATGTTGCAGCAAGCTTGTGCGTGTCACGAGTACTATAATAATAGACATCCGTTTTTATATAACTTAAGCAATTTGGACAAGTCATTTTGTATGGATATTTATCGAAGTCAGTATGCTCTGAAAGCAATAACATTTTGTGTAATATGCAGCAAGACAAACCTTCTTAACTACTTCAAACTCTTGCAAAGTGGTACACAATCGAAGAATTCTTTCGCATTTAGAGATAAGCTACTTCTGAACTGATTTAATTTACCTTGTTCCGTACGAGGATATTTCCGTGTGAATAGTGAGCTTACAGTTTTTTTAATTAATTTAAAATTATGGCGTCGTTTCTTTTCTCCGGAAATGCGAAATACATGATGCTCTTTTACGGTACGTACAAGCCTACCCTTACTAGGGTATATATCTTCAAGGTAAATATTATTTTACATTAGGTGTATAATTTTATATTGTTTTGATTAAATATAAGAATAAATTTACAATTAGATTGCTAAGCGTACAATCGAAACGATCGAAGACCGTGCAATACGTACGTAAAGTGGGTTTGATGGCAGATTCATTATCTTGCTGCATAAAATTCAACCTTAACTAAAGATGTAGGTGCAAATTATATTTGTATTTCATACGTTTCGTGCAAATGTCATTATCGAATATGTTCGATAAACACGTTATCAAATATGTTCAATTCGTAGAGCAATTGTTAAGCCTACATAGATATACATTTAAGGGGTGATTCCACGCTAAATCGATCACTTTTCTCCCTCGATGTCTGGAATTTTGTACAGACTGAAATATGATATAGTTCATATGATATTAGGGGGGTTTAAGTTGTCATTTTACTAATTTCGAATTTGTTTAAAAAATACAGGGCTCTGAAATTTACGATTTTTGTACATTTTTGCAAAAATGGGTTGTACTTTACGAACTTTGATCTCGGAAACCATTGATCGTGTCGAGATGTACTTTTTTTAGTTTTACTTGGGAAGGATACACCGTTCTAAACAAATGTTGATTCGATTGAAAAATTATTTTTACAACGTTGAAAGTTATAAACAAATTCTTATCTTTTATTCTTATTTTTGTCGCGTCTTTAAACATTCGAAAAAAATACTACCGCATTGTAATCGCAGCGGACCAGCAAAGTGGGACAGAAGGAATTTTTGGATGCGGAAATTCTAACTTTTCCGAGTGCGTGCCCGTGAACGGCTGGGTCTGAAGAGCCGGTCGCAAAAGTGACGAAGTTGAACCTTGTTTGCCTTTCCAATTCTCTCTCTCTTCTTGTCGGCCTTTCAAAAATCTATCAGAAGATCACCAGAAGAGCATCGCTTTGCAGTTGTAACACCCAAAAAATTTGACGGAATCGGTCTCTTTTAAACATCTTCCAATAGAAAAGAATTCTGCTCTTGCAGAATAAAAGGGGTGATTTAAGGGGTGATTCCACGCTAAATTGATCACTTCTCTCCCTCGATGTCTAGAATTTTCTACAGACTGAAATATGATGTAGTCCATATGATATTAGGGTGGTTTACAGTCGATCAATATTCCACTACATGTACTTGCAGAGTGGCATTATTCCCATAAATAAATTAGTCCGAATAAATTAGTTACTAACGATTTCTCTTGAGATACCCGATGTTTTGTTGATCGAACCATTTAATGTTTAAATGATTCAAATATTAAACCGAGAAAATTATTCAACATTCTCTTATTCTCTGACTTTGAATTTATATAGATTTTTAATAATGTTGACGCACTTACCTTGAAAACGATAAATTGCGTTCTTTCAATTTCGCTGTCTTCTTACAATCGATCATTGTAAGTAATAGTTTCATTGTTACCATCGCGTGAACCCTTTGGTCTCGTAATTTTCGATTTCATTGAAACATTACAAAAGATAAACAGTCGAAAATAAAATGCCCATGAAAGAGAAGCAAGATAGAAGTGTCTCCAAAGCGCGGACGACACTGTAAAAGAAAGTGAACTCGTCGGATTCTTTAAAAAACTACTTACATAATCTTTTAATGTATTATATGCTGTATACAAATGTAAGCAACTATGGGTGGGAAAGGAAGATACAAACTATTTCGGTACAGTAATAATTTCTCTGTCGGAATCAAGAACGATTCTTATAATTCGTAAGTACACGTGCGCGCACGCGTATGTGTACGTGTAGAGTAGGTGTCCGTGTGTGTGTGTGTGTGTGCTCTGTGAATGCAATTAACGAATGCCTGTATGTTGCGTGTAGCTTTGTTGTTCGTCGTAACCAGGTCCCGTTTTTCGTCGCGGTGAACTTCGAAATGATAATATCTATCCGAGCGACAAGTGTTTTATATTTCACTGTGTGTGGTCTGTCAATCCCGCGTTTCTCGGAATCCTTTTTGTTTTCCCTTGTATCCGGATTCATTTCCCGTTGGATATCTCGTAATATCTCGACACTTCCACGTGTCGAGATTCGAAGATGAGGATTTATTCAAGCTCGGGTCACAGCAAGATCATCATCGGCACGACGAAAGAATTAGGTAAAAGTCGTAGGATAAAATACGTGGTAGGAGGGTAGTGAGGCACACAAATACGTGTCGGCATAGTGAAAATATGTAATAAACATATTTTATGCAATATATGAAAACTTATAGATTTACACAACACGGCTTCGTCGCCACCGGGACCACCGCCACCCCCAGCATTCCCCGCTGCCACCACCGTGTCACCCTAACACGTTCGTTTCTTTCTTTTTTCGAATTCAGCGTTGAAAAATTCACGGTCGTCTATATTACTTATTGTAATATTCTTGTTGTCGTCTATATTACAATCGCAGTGAACCGTTATCGCAGACGTAATAATTGCACGCATTAACATTTCAAAACAGTACAATGCTTTCCGAAAGAGATATCGGTAAAACCATAAAATGAAGTTGCAGAAATTTCCTTATCGAGAGAATCGGCACCGAGCATTTCTTCACCTTCGATCAAGTAACAAACACAATTTAGGATAATTATAATCGATTGATCCGATCCGATTGGAGGGTGCCAGGTGATGAGCAGGAATTGATTCAGGGGATGGTACAAAAAGCTTGTTTCTCTTTCCTTCTCACAACACACACGCGCACACTCACTCTCGCGTATTCTCTCTCTCTCTCTCTCTCTTCTCCTTTTCTCTCTCGCTTTCACTCACGTTTTCTCTCTCACAAGCATTTTCTTTTTTTTCTCTCTGCCTCTTTCTCACTCTTTCTCTCTCACTTTCTCTCCCCCTTTCTCGCTCCACTTTGCTTACTCTTTCTCTCTCTCTCTCCCGCTCTCACACACACACACTCTCTCTCTCTCTCTCTCNGTGTCGGCATAGTGAAAATATGTAATAAACATATTTTATGCAATATATGAAAACTTATAGATTTACACAACACGGCTTCGTCGCCACCGGGACCACCGCCACCCCCAGCATTCCCCGCTGCCACCACCGTGTCACCCTAACACGTTCGTTTCTTTCTTTTTTCGAATTCAGCGTTGAAAAATTCACGGTCGTCTATATTACTTATTGTAATATTCTTGTTGTCGTCTATATTACAATCGCAGTGAACCGTTATCGCAGACGTAATAATTGCACGCATTAACATTTCAAAACAGTACAATGCTTTCCGAAAGAGATATCGGTAAAACCATAAAATGAAGTTGCAGAAATTTCCTTATCGAGAGAATCGGCACCGAGCATTTCTTCACCTTCGATCAAGTAACAAACACAATTTAGGATAATTATAATCGATTGATCCGATCCGATTGGAGGGTGCCAGGTGATGAGCAGGAATTGATTCAGGGGATGGTACAAAAAGCTTGTTTCTCTTTCCTTCTCACAACACACACGCGCACACTCACTCTCGCGTATTCTCTCTCTCTCTCTCTCTCTTCTCCTTTTCTCTCTCGCTTTCACTCACGTTTTCTCTCTCACAAGCATTTTCTTTTTTTTCTCTCTGCCTCTTTCTCACTCTTTCTCTCTCACTTTCTCTCCCCCTTTCTCGCTCCACTTTGCTTACTCTTTCTCTCTCTCTCTCCCGCTCTCACACACACACACTCTCTCTCTCTCTCTCTCTCACTTTCTTTCTCTCTCGTTCTTGTTACGTGTTACAAATCAGCGCGATCACCGATTATAATCGATACGATCCAAGGTTATGTCATATATATACAGAACAATCTTAAATTGCGTAATCTGGGAAAAAAACGCGAGTAAATTCATCTACCGCGGGTTAGGATTTCGTTACATCTTCGCTCCGTTTATTCCGGCTTGTTCACTTTGTAATCTCATCCACCGTCAATATCCTCGTAACCGCTTTACAAAACAAAAGACGCGATCCGCCACGAGTGATCCTCGATCTCCTTCATCCGTCAAACATTCACGCGCCAAGACGATCCATCGAATCGAGCCGAATCCTGTTAACGCGTTCGCCACGTCCTGCCTGTCTATCGCTGACTTGTCTACTCGATTATCTTTGCTGCGACTGTTCTACATCGAATACAATATGACAGCCGAGCTAATTAAACATACTAAAAGTAACGGGAACACATTCGCGATCAGGGTTTCATACATTCACGATGGAGAATTAAAGTGATCCGAACTGGTTTTGCAATCGAATTCGCGAAAAATTATGTGACGCGATCGATCCACGTTCCAGATGCGATAAATGTAAAGCGCGCGGTCGACGGCGAACGCGTTCAACTTATCTAGATCGCTCGTCGATGCTCGCTTCGAAGATGAAGACGATCGATCAACAGGCTCGAGGAGCACCCTGAGACAGAATCTCGTCGCACAGCCTGGTCGTGACCACGTAACGTCGGTCCTGGCACGAATCTACCTCGAACAACACCTTGTCGAACGTGTCTTTGCCTCGTTTTCATCCATTTCTACTAATCTTCACACACACGCGTACACGCATACACATACACGCGCTCACACGCACACACACGCTCTCTCTCTCTTTCTCTCTCTCTCCCTCTCCTCGGTTCAGCCGCGGTAGAATTGATAAGCGAGAGGCAGCTTCGATAAAAAATGGATACGTATGCGCATGTATGTACGTGCACCGTCGGCCGAAAACTTGGAACCGCTTTGTCTCAGTCATCGGATTGCATCGAGTTCGAATTCTCGAAGCTAATGTTTACCTCGAGACGGCTACCGCGGCTTTTCTCTAAATTAATGCGATCACTCGACAAAGCGCATCCCTATTCCCGGATCGGTCGAGCGGTCTCGAACTTCCGGCCGACGGCGGACACGTCGCGAGGGTCGCCCCGTTGTTTTATTTTCTCGCACTTTACTTCCGAACATGCTTCTCTATCGGTTCGTTCGTCCCGGAATTGTTAATCGAGATATCCTAAGCCATTCGTGCGAGGACTTTGCACTCAAGGTTTGTCAAGAAATGCCCGATCGGAACGACGACGGACGAGCGGCCATTGTTCGCTGATCCACGCGCTTCGACTACCAGGAAAGTCGCTTATCTTTCTCCCTGCCGCGATAATTCCATAGTAATCTCGCGGAAAGTTCGCGGACGCTATCGTTGTCGAACCTTTTATTAAGACATCGTCTTCGACGCGCAAGCATTTGCGACTGCCGGTAGACGAAGCGTGAACCGACTCGACGAGAAGTCGGCGGAACCAAGGGGACAGATTCAGCTGTCCCGTTCGCTCGAGGATGTTCGGCGCGGATCTCGGTCGGAGAAGACCGTTTCCTCGCCTCCACGATTCGCGAATGAGATGGTGACGATTATAAAGCGAGATACTTTCCTTCGAATCTGCGTAATTCGTTGTTACAATTTTAGCTCGATTACAGACTTGCGGACGCGATTATTAGGATATCTATGAGCTACGACGATGATCGACGGGAATTCGGTTCTCCGACGGAGGCTCGCGCACCGTTTACCGAGCTTATGGACACTCCGAACGGCCTCCGTCGCGTCCTCGTTCCGCGCGCGAACGGAATTTGAGAACAGCAGTGACGTTCTTCTCGTTCAGCCGAATTTACGAAACTCCCGAAGATACACTCGGCTGCGATGTCGGAATAGAAGAATGATCTCCCGATTGCTAGTCGTAAGAAAGATGCTACATCGTATTATTGGTCGTATGTCGTATGCAAGAGACAAAGAAAATGGAACACAAGGTTCTACTCAGGAAATCACTGCTGCCCCCCCTCCCCCCTCCCTACCCCCCCCCC